TGTGAGCACTAGCACATCTAGCACATCTACCTATCATATCCAAGAGCAAGCTATTTCAACTTTTTTTATTGCCGGGATTCATTTCCTCCCTGAAGAGCCATTTACCGGCGAAATGAGCATCGGAGCTCAGTAGGACACCTCACCCTGTACTAGCAACTCCTCACTTAGGAGACTCTGGTCATCACCATCTCTTTATCGCTAACATTAGCCATCATCAGACATCTCGACATTAGATTGTCCGAGCGACCTCTTTTAGTCCATTTTTCCTTTTCTTCCTTTTGGTATATTTTGATTTATTTAGTAGTGTTTTTCCTGTTTTAATTTATATCCAATAAATGTGAAGTTTTAAATACTTTTTCTTACATTATCTTTAGGACAGCTAATGTTCTTTTTCTTTCTTTACTATATTTACATATAGGGTTGTCCCCTTGTGTCTGTCCTGGATTTTATATACATACAATTAGCTTCAACTTTGCCTTTTTTTTTACCCACATAACTGTGCCCACGGGGAAATTCCCAGTAAGAAAATGTTCTATGCTATCAAGGCTCAATCAGAGAGCTCTTGGCAGGCTTACAAGCCAAGCAATGAATGCTCTGACTGAGCTTATGTAGCATGGGAAAGCCCTTATAAGGGGTTTCTCTGCCTTGTCAGCTCATTCCGAGCTTAGTACCCACAGGGCTCACATAGATTTTTTTTCTAATGCTTCACATTTTTGTTTTTCCATATTTTTTGTTGCAGATCTTTTCTTTTTTTCTTTTTTTTGATAGTTACACCATTTTATTATGGATTTTATTTTGGTCTTTTTGGGGGCTGAAGAAAAGAACATTTAGAAGAAAGAAGATGTGGGGAAAGTAACCTCACCACCTGTACTTGGAGGGGCCTGCTTGCCAACCTCCTGCCCACAGGGGTTTCATAAAATTGTATGTTTTTCTGTGCTTGGAGATAATTAGTACAGTTCCTGATTCAATTATCTCCCAAGCACAGAGGAGGGATTCTATTGTTTGTGTATGGGAGTGTCTCACTGTATAACTCTGTTTTTATTGGTTTGTTAACTTTGTGTCCCTGTGCCCAACAAGGTCCACCTGGGTGTCACCCTTGTAGGGAAACTTGCATAAAAGGCCAGTGTGCCACCATTAAAACTGAGTTCCTGCTTACCCTCAACATAGAGCCTCATCTCATGTGTGGGGGAATCAGTTGTATCTATCCTGGCAATTGCTATATCACTATACTCCCCAGGAATTATAATCACTAGCTCTTATAAGAGCTGTTCCTGCTACGCTCTCTGGGAGTAGGAGTAGTCTGACCACTGGAAGCTTGGTCCAGGGTGGGTGAAGGACAGCTAGACCCCGTCGCAGCTGCATCACTGGAATTGGGGTCTGCAATGCTTATGGTGTCTGGTGGAGTGCTGGAATTCCTCGTTGAGCACTAAGAGCATTGATTGGCGGAGGCACTCAGTCAGAGTGCCAGGCAGTCCGTCACAGAAGACATCTAGGGGCATGGGCTCTGCTGGCCACTGGGGTGGAGTCAGGGAAAAATGTGGGGGTGATGGACATGACATGACACTAAGTCCCATCTTTTTAATATTAAAGCCCTCACATGTGCGGTGGAAGGGAGACGTTCACCAGCTCCACCCCTTATAAATATTAGAGTCCCACAAGCTACCCATGCGTGGGACCAGCAGGGAGGATGCCAGGTCCCCGTCTGTTATGTGGAGAGAGGGGAGCATCACCTTGGAGGATGTCCTCAAGTCTGGGGCAGTGTGACAGTATGTAACATGAAGAGGACAAAGTGCAAAATATAGTGTAGTATGTTAATGATTAGGTGAAAAAAAGAAAAATTGGAATTGCACTTACAGTGTATGAAGCAGATTATAGCTCCAATTTATAGTGCCTAGGCGGTATAATCTCGCCAATGTATATAGGTTCACTGTCTTGGTCCAATGGGGCAATGTCCAGAGGTGGCTTTAGAAGTTTACTAGTAATTTTCATTAAGTGTGTAGTGAGGCAGTCCACACTCTAGGATACGCACTCTTGTGCATAAGTACCATGAATTCTCACTGTGAAGAATAAAAATAAAACAGAATAAATATATACTGCTCACTGTTTGATAAAAGTGATAGAAGTAGAAGAAATGTATTCACTGTAGTGTAGCAAGTATGCTTTTGATCACTTCATATGGCATAAGTGGTATATCCCCTATAAAGGAAAACAATTACCTAAATGTCAAGATATAAAAAATGAACGAAAGTCCAACGATAGAAGTTATCACTAATTTTATCAGAAACAAAATCTAAAAGCCAGTAAAAGTTACAAACTAATGTGTTTTACTTCTAATTACAGGCTTTTTCAAAGTGTTCACTTTGGACATGCTAGAAAAAGTAGACACTTGAAAAATGCCTGTAATCCAGTCAATATGGCTCACATACAACGCAGTAATAAGTGGCTTTGTATTTTTTCAGACTAAATGACGTAAAATCTAAATTTTCAGTCATTTTGTCATGATTAAGAATATGAACTCTATATGTTGAATGGAACCAGAATATGTTCAATCTCTTTGTCGTAAATCTTCCTCCCCTTACTGAATGGAGGGAATAAAACCCTACCTGCCCAACTCACTAAAATGTATTAGTGGGGGAGGCACATAATAAACTTTAAAAAAAAGTAAAATACAAATATCTTATTGCATGGATGATGTTTTTATCAAAAATTTTCTTTTTTCTTTCTTTGGCCATAAAACTTTCCTAAAAATATGTATCTAATATAATTTCCAAGATTATACATCACTAAAGAACAAGTTGGCATTTCATAAATAAAAGAATATGAGGGTATTAGTCGTGCTTGCTAAATTAATTTAAGAAAGATTCAAATGGATTTACGGCATTCAATTTTACTTTTACTAGG